CCCCCCCCCCCCCCCCCCCCCCCCCCCCCGACCGCTTAGCTTAATCCGAACGCACGCCGTCTTGATCCCTTCCTGCACCCCTCGTCGCGAAACATACCGGACCACACTACTGGTGTCACCAGCCGTTTGGGGTTCAAGCGCTAATTCCCGGCGAAGGGTTACAAAGCGGGGGAGGAGTGCTGCACCGAAAGGTCACGGAGAAGCTCAACAGCCTCAAGGAGCTCGCCGGCCGGCAGGTGGAGCGGGCCGATCGCATCGAGAGGGCTGGTCGTGCGAAGGTTAGTCTTGATGGGGCTACTCGGCTGCCGCAGTGTAGGTTGTGGTATAGTCGGAGATACCGCACACCCAGGACCGATCGTCAAATCTCGACTACTATTATGTTAGTCTGCGACAACAGCAGTGACGGCGCCGAAAATGGCGGGAGGCGTTGAGACAGACCGTCCCGCCGCTGAGAATTTTCCGAGAAGGTTCCAGTTGGCTTTTGTGGCCTCTTGGTCGCGGAGTAGTCGAGCGTTTGAAGATCGGCCCAGGGGGTGTGGTAGCGACCTGCAGCATTCTTCCGCTGAGAATTTTCCGAGAAAGTTCCAGTTGGCTTTTGTGGCCTCTTCGTCGTGGAATAGTCGAGCGTTTGAAGATCTCCCCAGGGGATGTGGTAGCGACCTGCGGCATTATTGTCTTGAACCAACTCTCGATGTCGAAAGGGTATGATCCTTCGAGGTGTAGCAGTAGCAGTAATAGTAGTATCCGTCATCTGGTTGGGGCCGCACCCGTTGTGTTGCCTGACTTTGTGGCGTATGCATAGCAGCGTGCAGGCTGCCATTGGTCATTGGTCATGCCTGTGAGTAGGTAGACATGTCGGAGTGCGGGGTGGGTGGATAGCGTTTTCCTAAGAAAATCGTTTGAGGGTCGTTCATTTCTCAGCTACTGCAATAGCTACAACGCTTTTCTTGCGGTACAGCTGCTGTCGTGACGTAATCAAAAGCTCTGACAAACGACATCGACAGTTGGACATGTATTTATTTGCCGATATCATTACCACCTCCAACGTCAACCTCTACTATTATGCGCGGCAACAGGACCCGGACCAGCGGCAACAGCAACAGCAGGACAACGGCCAGTCTGCGGGGGCCCTTTCTTCTTCAAAGAGCGCTTTGTACTCGAACGCCTTCCAAGTCCCTGTCGGTGAGACGAGATCACATGATACCATGTTGCTGCTACTGTATGCATAGTGCATGTGCTAATCTAGACGGTACCATACGTGCCGCACAGTATCGGCGAGACCATGATGCTGCTAAATAAGACATCAACCCATCCTCTTCGACTACTGCTGTGGTTATATCTCGAACTGGTATTATTGTCGTTCTTTGATTACAAGCATACTTTTCTACTTAGAATTCAGACCTACACACACGACACACGCTTGCTTGGCAGAGGTGAGCAGCACGAGCGTGATAGCCAGGCACCACCTTGCGCCGATGAGGTTCTGTGGCTTGTGGCTCGATGGACCGGAAGAAGAATGTCTCGATGGCCTCTACCCTCTACATCTACTTTTCGCCTTCGATAGCGCTATGATCGGTTTGGCAGTACAGTAAAGTACAGTACAGCACAGTACAGTAGAGTACAGTATGCTGCTCTACAAAGGACAATCGTCAAAAGCGCTCGTCGTTTGGCCGTACTGGTACAATACAATAGGATTTAATTTCTGCCGCCCTACCAAGAACAGTTCTCGAGAACGCTCGTTTGGCCGTAGAACTGAACGACTGCTCGTTACCGTACATCCGAATCTCCCCCCCCCCCGCCCGAGGACACGTGGTCTAACCGCTAAGGCATGCGAAACATAAAAGTACGCCCCCCCCCCTCTTGTGGATAATACAATACAAGGTGAACTCCTGTCTCAGTGGGAAATCATGCGCACGCAGCTCTTTGGTACGGGGGGAGCGACAGTCAGCGGTCTCTTTAGCGCCGGACCCGTCGGGCAGCGCCGCCTCTCCCCGCCCCGCCCCACGATCTCGCCGTCCGATTCTTCTCACAACGCTGTCGGCGACGGGGCCACGACTAGCGCCGTCGGGAGGGGTGGCAACCAACCGCTGCTGGACCGTCGAGAATCGTCCCGCAAGCACGAAGAGATTGCCAGCGGTGCCGTGTCTGGGTTTGTGGGGGAGGGGGGTAAGGCCGTCTTGCGGAGCCCCGTGCTGGCCTCCGTCGCGGAGTCGCTGGCCCCAGCGCGCAGCACTCACGAGATGAGTGATTTCATGACCAAGATGAAAGGGTGAGTGGCGAGGATTTTGGGAAGAGTTTTTTTTTACGGAAATGGCTGAGGAAGCATCATGACTGCGACGTACGTGACTGCGAGACCCTGCGCAGACTGCTGTAGAACCAGAAAAATCTGGAAGGGGGTGGGGTGGCTGCTAGGTGTTGTCCCTCTGCCCTTGGCTTTGATACATACGGCTGTACCGTCGAGTGCGGGGGGTGTTCAGCAGCGTTCGTCAGTCATTGATTGTCATCTTTACGTGCTGCCTCAATTTCGACGGTCGCATCGCCTCTCTCATGACCTGGAACGTGCTTCGCAGCATTTCACGTCACACTCAACTTGTTGTGCTCTGTGTGACCGACCATTCGAAACTACCCCCCACGTTGTTTGTTGTTTCGTCGCGCGTTCTCGTCTTTTTCTTGGGGGCAACGCAATATCAACGTGCAGGGTGGAGTTTCCCCGTGACCCAATGAGAGAACCTGGGCCTGACGAGCACATGCGGCAGGCTGGGGGGTTCCAGCGGCTGATGGCCGCAACAACGTTCGAGAGTCCCTTCGCCAAGAAAAAGAAGAAGAAACTGGGCATCGACTACAGCCCGCTAGAGCTAGACGAGGTGCGGCCCTTGCCTTTACTCGTGTTGTGGTTGGTTATTGCTGGTATCGCTGTAGAGCGATGGGTTATTTATTGTATTCTTCGAAGTATGTAGGTGCCGTTGTTTTTGTACGTAGGCATATGAAAGACTTTTCGATTTTCTTGCGTTGCGTTGCTCGGCCCGGTTAGCGTCTACCAGTATGAAGTACTTGGCATCGAAAGGCTGTTGCAGCAAAGGGAAGGGAACGATACTCGTAGAGTACAGTACCACGTGCAAGATTCAGGTTACCGCTGAATGTACGACGAGGTCTAATGCGCCTAACGGTGCAGTCGTTGCCCTAGTAAGGAATGTTTATTATAATGTTTACATGTGTGTTCATTGTTACAACACCAAGGCAAGCCGGTGCACGTTCGTGACGTATGCAATCCCCCCCGGCGCCCCTCCCTCTCTCCCTCTGCTATGTGAATTTTAACACCACGCGACACCACACGACACCACGCGACACCACAGGCGGCGAACGAGTCTGCGGTTTTGGACATGGAGGACGAGGAAGACGAGGCAGCAGCAAATGCTAAGAACGACAAAAACGCCGCTGGAACAAAGGTAAATGTGTTTCCCATGCCTACCAGCGATCTGTACCATGGTATCGATCACACCCGAAAGAACATTGTTTGACGCGAGCTTTGCTGCAGAACGTGAACACGTTTGGATACAAGGCATCACATGACATGAAACGAATGAGCCCGAAGGTTGCGCACACATATGGTATACAAGTAGTTTCAGGCAGGCAATACTGCGGCATGACAATAAACGCGTGCCGTGAGTCTCCTTTTTATTGTCGCGTTTAGACTGAGTTTGTGCGGCCCGGTCGTGGAACCCCCGTATGCATACTTCACTTTCAGAAACGCCGGTATTATTTAGAAGACACGGTGTGCAGTTTTGCACGTCACCATGCGATCATCGCTCACACGCTCTTTCTTCAAGCACTCGTTCCCGATGCCAACATACCCTGCAGTCGCTCGAACAACCCCCCTTTCACGCCCGCTCTCTCCCGTCGCAATCGCTCCGCACGCCAGGTGGGCGACAACCAAGCCCCCGATAGTCCGGTACCCGGCGCCTCCGCTGCCCCCGACAGTAGTTCCTCTGCGGCAGGGGGAGGAAACGATGCGGCGGCCTCCTCCTCCTCCTCCTCCTCCCCGTCTTCCGGGGGTACGGCAGACCAACCCGGCGGCGGCACCGGAGGGGGAGGCATGAAACGAATGTCGAGCTTCACGCGGAAGATGCTCCCGAAGCTCGTGGCCACGCGAGGGAGGCACAAGATGGGCAGGGACAGGGGGCAGCCGGCGGCGGGGGCGGCCGCGGCGGCTGGTGCTGCTGCCAGACGGGGCGACGCAGGTGGGGCGAACGGGTCTACCGGCCACCAACGACCTCCGGACGTGCCGCCGCTGCCGACACCGGGGACGGCGGCAGCCGCAGGCGTCAAAGACGTAAGGGACCTTGAGATGGAACAGCAGCAGCGGCTAAGAGAGGACCTGGACTTGGTGCCGCCCATGTCTCCGGCTCTCGCGGTGCCGCGCACGCCCGATTACTCACCGCCCGCTTCCCCGGCGTACCACGACGCCGAGCCCCCCTTCGAGGAAGACTCGCGCCACGAAGCCGGCGTGGAGCAGGGCGAGGTTGCGGCGTCGAAAAAAAGTGCTCCATTCCCTTCTTCCCCTGTGTCGGCCATGGAGGAGGAGGAGGAGGAGGAGGAAGAGGAAGAGGAAGAGGAGGGGGGGATAGAACCGTCAGATGGTGACCCTGCTACGGCTCCCGCCGCCGCGCCCGCCCCCGCCCCCACTGCCCCTGCCCCCGCCGCCCCTGCCCCGGCCGCCCCCGCCCCCGCCTCGACCAGCACTACCGGTACGAGCGTGTCGGGTCACGACAACGGTCGGCCAGCAAGTGCAGACAACGGCACGAACGGGTGTTCGGCTGCGTTTGAGAAGACGCCCCAAGCTATCGCTATCGCTGGCATCCCAGCCCCATCGGCGGCGGTAGCGGCAGCGGTAGCAGCGGCGGCGGCGGCAGCTGCGGCGGCGGCGGCCAAGGCGGCGGCAGCGGCGGTAGCGGCAGCACCCAAGCCTGCGCACGCGGAGAGCAACGGGAGCGGCGCAGGAGAGTCAGTGCCAGTGCCGGTGAAGCGAGCACCGGTGACTCCGAAGCCACAGACGCCGACCCCCCCCCGGCCTCGACCGCCGCCTCCGAGACCGCCACCGCCGAAGCCCTCGCCTTCTTCTACTCCAGCCACGGCGCCGCCACCCCCATCAAAAGGACCAGCTGCATCCACAGCAGGGCCAAGCTTTGCTCCCACCAAGTCTCCGGCTACGCAGGCCCGACAGGCACCGCCCAAGCCGCGCCCGCCGCCCCCGAGACAGCCTCCACCGTCTGCTCCGGCGGCGGCGGCGGCGCCAGCTACTACCGCTACTACAGCTACCACCGCTACCACCGCTACCACCGCTGACGCGGTGGACACTCAAGCCGCGGCGTTTACACCGACTACGTCGCCGGCCGCCAGGTTTACTCCCACCGCCTCCCCGGCGACGTTCACGCCCACCGCTTCTCCGGCTACCTTTACCCCGACAGCATCTCCCGCGACTCGTACCGTGGGGGGTGCACCGGCGTTTGCACTCACGTCGTCTCCGGCGTCTAGGGCTAATGTCGGTTTTCCTTCGGCGTCCGGGACTCCGCACAATGCGGCGTTATCGTTTACGAGGGGTCCTAGCCCTGGCAACGGCGCCGCAGGGGAAGAGAGGGGCGGGAGACTAGGTTCGGGTTCGGGTTCTGGTTCTGGTGCGGGTTCGTTTTCGTCTGCCGGTGTGGCTGCAGGGAGACCTTTGACGGGCTCTAGCGAGGTGAGTTAAGAAACAGGAAGGGGCCAGGCCAGGTGCCGTCCTGCACGGCAACATTATTGTTGGTTGCTGCCCTTGGTGTGGTTCTCAAGGCGCGCCAATGTTCAGTACTACATCATGCCTGGTAGTGCTGTGTTGTTGGACAAGCAAGCGTGTGGTGTGGTATTGGAGGTTGGTTCATATGTAGGGTATGAGACGGATGGAGGTGTAATCGTTGTCGACCACTGGAAGCTGCGTGAAGCCTCCGGATTCGACATGTAGAGTAGACCCCGTGGACGTTGACGGAAGCTACTCTATGTTGATGCCAGCGTGCGCACGCTGAACAACACCCATTTTTTTTTTCTGTACGGGTTGCGTTGTCTTGTACGCGAGAGAGTTGAGAGGGGCACCAACTGTGGCTTGGCTTCCCGCGATCTACATCCAGTACCTCGAGTAAACCGTGGCTTTCCGGCGGCTGCGCGCTCCGTAGTACCTCCTTATTCGACGACGGTAAAACCTGCCTTGTCCCAATCTAGACATGTCATGACACGAAAGAGCAAGACTAGATTTCGCAATACTGTACGAGGCGGAGAGGTTGGAGGTCATGGAAACATAAACATTCGAGTTGATCGACGAGCCTGACCCCAATTGCCATGCTGCCTGGTGGAACAATTTTCGCCATCCGGTTTCTGATGCAGCAGCAGCAGCAGCAGCGGTTAGCCGGGGGGAGCGGACATAGTGGGGACGCCAATGGCGGCGAAAGAGGCGTTGGTACGGCACCGGGGGCTGGGTCTATCGGTACCAGAGGTTCCGCGGAGGAGACGAGAGCAAGAAAACGCCAACGGGAAGAGCAAGAACAGAAGGTACGTGGAACAAGCGTAGTTGTACCAAGGCACACACGCGCATCGAAGTTGATGATAAGTACAGGCAGACTATGCATGCATACAGGCTGCTGACTAGCGGCAACAACCAGCATTGTTCTTTCATGTGTTTTTGCCGTAATGCTGTGCGATACCTATCTCACCTCAGACCTCACTTCAGTCAAGGCTTCCCGTGTACACCCACAACCCACACTAATGTCCACACTAATGTCAAGAATTTGGTTTCGTCCCAGGTAAAAAAAAAAGAAAGACACGTCTTCGGTAACATGAGAATAATTTATCTTGGAGGTCTCGGGACGTGTCGCTGTTCGCTATTCGCTGCAAGACATCGGTATTCCCGGGGGTTCTCTGTACGTGGACGATGCGAAGTCCAGGCACAAAGACGGTGTGTTTGATATGACCCACTGACGTATGCATACGTACTTTGTTGTGTCCTTCCACAGACACCGAGTCCGCACGACTACATTCTCCCCGATGGATGGATGGTGGCACGCTCGAAGAGAGAAAATCGGGACTACTTCTTCAACAAGCGGAACAATTCCACACAGTGGCATCCCCCCGAAGGCAGTCGGCGAAGAAATACGTAGCAGCTTGGGCGAAGAGTGGAGTAGTCCCTCCTCCCTGCTGTTGTCGACGTTAACAACAAGTTTTTTGTGCTGGCGGGCGGTGGCGCCGGGGATGAATGTATGTCGGATACTGCTCATGTGCTGATGCTACAGGTTGCTGACTTGTACAGTCGGGCGAAGCATGCGAATGTAGTTTTGAGGTTTTGGAGGGAGATCTTGGATCGATCGATCGATCGATCGGAAGGGTGGCCAACGACACGCATGCCTTGCTTCCCTCATGTAACTAACGCGGTGCGAGGAGCCTGCAGCGGTCAAGCTTAAAATTTGTTGCTGACTTTTTTGTGTTCGATGTATCTATGCCTTGTCAAGGTGACCATCACGTCAAGGGCCAACGAAGCTGAACCTACTACAGACCGCCATTTTCCCCCCTTCCTGTCGTCGAGTACTCTCTCTCTCCCAGCATAAGCGTGTGGGACGGACTTTGATCTGTGCGCAACCACGTTCTACTTGCCCTTGTGTGTTGTGTTGTGTTGTGGTGTGTGTGCGCCTGGTTCTCTGCAGGCAGTCGTTTGCGTACGTGCAGGTATTGTTCAAGGAAGGCGTTTCAGTGCGACGCTGGGAAAGACTCCTGTTTACCCGTCGTCGCCTAAAAAAGTGCTAAAAACGTTCCTCACCCCGTGTACAGCTCTCTACATAGTGGTAGCACTTGGCCGCAGAGAGGTCTTCAGAGCGTGTCTTACGAAACCCGTCTTGTCTAGTGTCGTGTAGAGTGTGGTGCACGTGAGTTTCGGCGATATGATTGAGGCGGAGAGAATCAGAGAGGGCTTGCCGGTGGTCGTAAGTGTGTTTCGGACTACAAAGCTAAATTAAGCATTCCGACGTTCCTTCCAAGACACGAACATCGTCCGGTGGTCCACTTTGGTGATGAAGGACGATCGATGTGTGTTGAAAGTATGAACAGTAAATTGCCCAGTGTTGCGCCTACAGGCAGACACAAGTGTTTCTTTGTGCTCCTTTCTTTCCTACAAGAGCAGGAGACAAGATAAGTGTCACCACCGCCATAACCAAAGACCGGAAATCCCGAGGGGCGTCGTCGTAACGGTCGGTCGTAGAACGGCGTCACTGGCAAGCAAGATAGAGATAAATTGATACATGGTGACTTGCATCAAGTACCACAACCAACCCTGCGCCTGTGCACAACACGCACACAATCAACACGTACTGTAGATAGACGCCAAGTGACGCCATGTTGGTGTGTGATGAATTGGTTACTTAAGTGTGCTTGCTATGCAAAGCTGAAAATATTGTTTCATTTCATCACCTCTTCCTCCGCGCTAGCTTCGTTTCGACTCTCGAGTATACTACACACGACAATCAATCCCCATCAGCACCTCTCCTCGTCAGCCCAAATTAGATTAGGTTGCAGATGAAACAGTCCAATACTTTGTAAAAAAACTTGCTGGGGCTATACTATGCATATCAGCGGGCCCACGAATTTTGCCACCGCCGTCGTCATCGCAATAAAAAAAGTACTTCCTCAACAGCAGTACGCAAGTGTTCTTCGCGACCAACGAATCTCGACACATGCGTCCGTGGCGGGCCGAGTTCCAAAGTCGCTACTGCTCTGTATCATCTGCAGCTTCCTGTGGCAAGACCTACTTTGGTATACAAGGTAAAACATGCATGGTTGACTCAAAATCTCTTCACGTGTCAGTGGACAAGCGGACAAGCAACTACTTGTATTAGCTGGGTTAGGAACGCCATGGACAACTTTAGACTTTACCCATGGGTGCGCCTACCCTACGAAAATATGCCTTCCGTGCTCTTCTTCCACGAACAAACAACATCATATGAAATCAACGACGAAGCGCGCATGCCTACGTCCCTGGGAACCACATTGGTCAAGCATGCTTGCAAGAAGCACTAGGAGGATCACTCTTGCATGAAAAGAAAACGACGCCTCTCGGTAACTCTCTCTGCTCGTGCCCGGGTGCGATTATCGCCTACATTACATTTGATGGGATCCACCTCTCTCAGCTTGTAATCTGAAACGGTTTTTCCCAAATGAAACGTCTCTATTGTTCTTCCAATACTTACACACCCGGCCGTTGCCTGCTTACATCAACAACCCCAACAGGACGACACACGAAGGACAAAGGGAGACACGCAAACAAGGAAGCAATCTTCTGCAAAACACAACTACCGTAGTATATCGCACCACGAAGCCTTCGCAGGCACTCCTAGCCCTAGTCAGCAAAGCAAACGGTGACTGACTGAAAAACATCCACCCCGAAGACAAGAACAAGGAAATTGGAAAAAGGTTACAACAACAGACACCGTAGTGCATACGTACACGCCTGCGTTTCTCGACGGAATGATTCACCAAACGAGAAACGGCCTATCCTAGAAACTAATATGAGCAGCAGCAGCAGCAGCAGCAGCGAAGGGACGAACGACGAGAAGTGATCGTCATTGAGCCGCCTTGTTGTTGTAGTCGCCCCCCATCAAGATGAGACTCTGAACCGCAGTCTGGACGTCGTCTCCGAACTCCGTCCCTTCCGCCGAAGTGCCTTCTTCGGACGCACCGTCAACATCGCCGTCACCGTCCTCGCTGCTGTTGCCGCAATCCCGATACGAACCCCTCCCCTCCGGCGCGTTCACGCCGCCGCGGCCATCCCCATCCCCCCACTTGCTCGAGCCTTCGTTGTTTGAGCCCTCCCCGGTGGAGTCGGCTTCGTTGCTGCAGGAGACGCTCCCTTCGTGGGTGGTGGAACCTCCCGTGTCTCCCCCCGTGGAAGAGTTGTCCCCGCCAGACTTATCTGCGCCGCCACCGCCACCGCCGCCGCCGCCCCTGAGCTCTTCGTCCATGTGATTGCTGAGGCTTACGCGTTGCCGTTTCTTCGACAGCGACCGCTCTTCCCTGCCAACCGCGGGGTCAGCCGGCTCCGCCTCCGCCTCCGCAGCCCCTGCCATCTTGGGAGCACCGGTCGCCTCGGGCCCCTGCTTGGCGCTTGCACCGCTGGAGTCCCGAGGGCTTGGTGTAACAGCGGCGCGCTTTCCCTTGCCACCCCCCCCCCTCGTGCCCCAATCCTTCCCGCTGCCGCTGTTGTTGCTGTCTTCTTCTGCCGCTTCCACCTCGCACTGGTACCCGTCGTCGTCTGCCTCCACGTACTCCTCTTCCGCGTCTTCCTCTCGATCCGCATCGTCTGCATCTGCATCCGCCGGCGCCGGCGCCCCCGTACCAACACACGCCTCCCCCGGCGGCGCCGAGGAGGGGCCCGTTGCCATGGAAAGCTGGCCGCCCGCGAACTCGCGCGCTACGGCCGTCTTTCCGCCCTCCGCCACGGTGCGAAGGGTGAGGATGATCTCCAGCGGGACGGGGGCGGCGGTGCTGTTGCCGTCGTGCCTCTTGGCGTTCCGCACGCTCAGCCGGCTCTCGCACCACACCGTGGTCTTATCGCCGCGGAAAATTCTGAGCATCTTCATCTTCGGCGGCCGTTGCAACGACAACGACGTCGGAGCGCTCCCTCCCCTGCCCCCGCTTCCAATTCCCGGGCATTCCCCCGGCTGGGACTGCTGCTGTCGACACCGCTGCTGGAGCCGTTCCCTGTGGTTCCCTTTTTTCTCGCGGCATTGCGGCTCGTCGTCTCCAGCCACCGCATCGGCGTCCCCCCCCACCCCGTCTCCATCCGCAGAGCCCCCGCCTTGCAATGATTTAGCCGACGACCAGCCCCCCGCCGCCCCGCCGGCGATGGACTTGACCGGACGCGAGAGGTTGTCCGAGATGATCTTGCGCAGCAGCGGGTGGCACTCTGGCGCGACGAGCTCGAAGATGTTGGCGCCGGTCATGTCCTCGGGCGAGTGCAGCAGCAGCCACTGGCAGGCCGGAGAGACGTACGTCATCTCGCCGGTGCGGCACACGGCTAGGACGAGGTCCGGTAGCATCGACAGGACCAGGGCGTGCTGCTTCATCCGCTCGTTCTTGGCGGTCATGTCGTCCACGTACGCCTTCTTTCGCGCGCGGCTCGTGCTCGCGGACTTGCGATTCGCCGCCCGCTTGACGCGACGTTTCTCGTCCTGGCGCCTGTGCTCCTCGATAATTCGCTGCTAAGACCGAGGGGGGGAGGGGGGGAATAGGGTTAGAGTTGGGTGTTGGATAGTAATTCGTTGCACAACAATACAGCAGTACCTGTGATGCGTGATGCACGGATGCACGGGAGAAAGAGAGGGGGGGGGGGGGGGGGGGGGGGCAAACTTTATTTTTTGGGAAAAACCCACCCCCCGCTTTTTAATCGAAACCCCCACTCTTCCGGTCAAATGTTTTTTTTCATTGGCCCCCATGGCAATTTCCACCTCCACTACTGTCTCAAAGCCAAAAAAAAAAATTTCGCCTTTATTATTTAACACCCCAAAAAAAAACCCCAAAACCACAACCTCAAAAAAAACACACAACAACCCCCGAAAGGGCCCGCAAAAAAAACAAAATTTTTAAAAAAATTAGGAAAAAAATTTTTTTTGGTGTCCCCCCAAAAAAAAAATTTTTTTTATCTCCCACAAAAACCCTGGGCACAATCCCCCCGGGTTTAAACCACCCCCCCCCCATCCCACTTTTTTCCCCAAATTTAAAAAATCAAAAAACCCCCGCGAGAGGTTTAACTCTACACCCCCCATTTT